CCCCCCGCCTCCCTCCCCCCCCAATGGAGAACCCCCCTCCCATATCCGACATTCAAATGAGACCGTCATTTGAATTACCCCCCTGTCGACTTCCTTGGCTTCGCGTGGCAAGAACCCCCACAAGTTGGGCAAGCACCTCATTCCCACCTACCATTGCATCGGCCACAACCCCGATCTTCCCTGCCATCTCCCCTATTCGCCCATTCACAATCTCGGCTCCTTTCGTCGTAGCACTTGCCATTGTGCAAGCGGCCTGCTCCAATCCCTGACAGTACGCCTTTGTAGACTCCCGCATAGCAACGGAAAGAGATTGCGCAGAGTCATCATTCCCTCACCTCTCTCTCGTCCTTCCTCTCTTCGATTTTGTCCTGCTGTCCGACTTCTCTGACGCATCCCGAGCAGTCTTTCCCCTTCCACCGCCGCCTGATGATGCACCTTCACCAGCCCTGCCCCTCATCGATATCACGTTGTCAGTCGGCGATTGCATGTTATCGGAAGCCAACGTATGGTCACATGTCACTGACAGTTTTCTCAGTGCCCACCCCATAGCATCTGAAAGCACCTTGTCGAACGCTGGGTGGACGCCCAGTTCACGGCTCTTCTCTGTCGTCATCTCCCAGTAGCTCTCACCGCTCGATCTCCCACATTTGTCATTGATCTCCTTCGCCTTCTCCATCAAAGACGCCCATTTCTTCCTGCAATCTTCACCATTGCGCCTGTACCCCTCCGCCCGCATCCTGTTCGATATCCACTCCAATCGATCTTGGCGCCTCATGCACCTGTGAGGTCCTGAAGCAGAGGCACATAGTGCATCATCTTCGCCGTACACCCTTGCCAAAGCCACTTGCTCATCCGCGGACCACAACTGAGAGGACTTTTGAGGTGGCTTGTTTGTGGCCCTCCTAGCATCGCTCTCGCCGGCAGGAGCATCCGTTGTCGTCGATGGCTCCTCCCCCGACCTCGGAGCAGTGTTCGAAGGTGGCGGCGACGGCGGGCCATCTGGAAGGCTAACGGGCGGGAGCGGCAGAGACGACGCTTCCATAGCTTGCAAAGGTTAACCTCCCATGCCGGTAGACGGGCGAGATCAGGACGTGCGTTGTCCAACGTCACACGGAACGCTATTCGCGGACGGCTAAACAGTCGTAGAGGGAGGTGGTGATGGCATGGGCGGTCGGAGCGGTGAACGGAGAGGAGCCTGTACGTGTTGCAATGCACCCTGTTGATGGATCCCATGCCCCCCCGCGATGCCATATCCGATGCTCGCGAAGGAGGAAACAGAGAGATTCGCCTGGCCATAGCTGCCCTGCATGTAGCCTTGCCCACCACCAGGGTTATTCCTCCACTGAGGGAGGGGTGGGAGAGAGGGAGCGAACATTGGCTGCCATGCAACGGAGTTGATCATTATGCACCGATGGCATTGCGTGCGAAGGCCGATCACCGCCAGATCTGCCATGATCGTCTTCCATAGAAGAATCTAGCAAAGATGAGAAGTCTTGTGCAGGCTGACGCGACCAATGTTGTTGATGTATGGATCAAAGATGTCGCTTGCGGCAAAGGCAGGTGACGATCAGGAGTACGACAACACAAAGAAGGATGAAAATGAAAAAAAGCAAAATGAAAACTACCGCGACGATGACGAACCACGCCAGTGCTGCGTACGCAAAACGAACATCTACATCGTCGGCTCTCTGTTCAACAACGCTGACGTTCCCGACAAGACACGGAAAACTTCGGTCGCACACCTTATGGAAGCCGACAGATAGCGAGGCGTCTGCGCGAAGGACATCCACTCTTCGACCGTCGTTGGAGTCGCTGTTGTTTCACCAAAACAATAGCGATGTTCGCCCGATGTCCGTGGGAAGCCCTCTGCTGTTCCCCCCGACAGCACCATCAACTGTCAAACTGCGAATGAGGGGAAAGCGTGCTGTGACGGGTGTCACGGTAGAGCACCACACTCCACACAACAGCGAGGGAGTGAGTCGTCCCCAAACACCCGCCTTTGTGGTCGTCTCGACACGTGACAACATACCCTGCGTCGGAAAACATGCGAGGGAGGAGGACATCAACAAAGGGCGACACAGGCGAACAACACTTCACAGCGAGTGTGCCAGCCCGCACACCTTCCCTTCCTCATGCAAACCCATGGACCACCACCTGCTCATAACATCGCTTACGAAAATGTCCTACTTTTGAACTTCGAAATCGAATCGTGCGAATGTCCCGTGACCGTCCTGCTCTTCGTGGCCGTTTATCCCCTTCCTAACGGACAACCATCACCACATGAACCCTTCCCAGGTCGTTCGGGTGGTGCGGTGATGCGTCCGTGCCGTTCGTGCCCGTTGAGACCTTTGGGACATTTTTGTGGGGCGCCTGGACGGACAGATCCCGCGGTCGGGAGCGTGCGACGGAATTCGAATTTCGGCTGTGTGGACCTGGTACGCGTGCACGACCAGCGGACACCATCGGTTGTCCGCATGCCGTTTCCTTCCGTTTGCGGCGGAGTGCCTCCGCCCACCCTCGTCTTCCTCTTTGGCCATCGACGACGGCGGCGCCGGTGATTTCCAGGGGGACACTGCGCCGCGGGCCATGTAGAAATGGCCCTCCCTCCCTTTCCAACCCGACCCGAATGGACCTGTGGGGTCTTTAAAACCTTTCCAAAACTTTTCCAAACCTTTGCCGCAAACCTGTGGGGTCCACCTCTCACGCTGAATAGACTGTGGAAGAAAAACTGTCGAAAAAAGAGTAGACAGATGTCAGATCAATGTATTCGACACGGGTACTCCAGCTTGCGGCAGTCGGAAATTCAACGCCTCGCCTCCAAGGTAGGGAAGACGAGGGCTTTTTTAGGACTCTTTTGACTATGGGCCTCGCTGCACTACTCTTGACATGCACAACAGACACAAATCATGGCGGTGTATCTTTACATATTCTAGCGGAAGATTCACTCTCGTTTTTCACATTTCGAGAGTGGTGCAGCGAGGCCCTATCTCTACTTTTCTCACCAGCTGTCAGGGCCTGGCTGCACCGATTTCCAAATGTGAAAAAGACAAAACTGTGGCGGGTGCATCTGCCATGTTCTTGGCGGAAATGCATTCTCATTTTGCACATTTCGAGGGTGTTGGGGTGAGGTCTTGCCCTTTTCCAGGCCCTCATCCTTGTCCACGGCCTCGACATCCCTACTTTTTGACACTCTATAGAGCCATGGCAACTTTTTTGTCGAGAACTCCAATGTCGAAAAACGGCTGACAGGTGTCGAAAAATAACTGGTTTCTTTGTTATTTGTTTTTTTTATTATAAGGCACTTGGCACTTTTTTTTCTTTTTTTTTTTGCCATGGCAGCTTTTTGTTCGAAAACTCCGATGTCGAAAAACGGCTGACAGGTGTCGAAAACTTATAAGGCATTTTTTTTTTTTTTTTTACGGAAAGAACAATGTACTTGGCACTTGATGTATACTGTCGGAATGTACTCTCCGTTCATCCAAATTCTATACAGGGCCATCCCAGTTTGCCTTTTCGATGTGGCCTGCCATCGTGGTCATGTAGCACCCTTGTCGGTATCCAAGTTCTTTTCCACTTCTTTTTTCCGTGAACTCTTGGGAAAGCCAACTGCAGAGGGGGGGCGGACCGGCACGCGACCTCAGCGGCGCTTCGTCGCCTGCGCTGTTCGCGTGGCTCGAGCTTGGTTGCCTTGTTTCCATAGCTATCCTACCTTTACCCGTAGGGGTGAAGGCACGAGGAGAAGTTAAATCCATCGCGTGTGTTTTACCGCGTTGTAATTTCCTCTTCAAGGAAACCACCTCCCCCTATTATGAAAGTATTCCTTCACCAGAATTCACCAGAACTACCAGCGTAACGCCCTGAGCGGGCGTTCCACTGCAGAGTTTCACCCATTTTCGATAACTCGGGATGTTGCTTCTACGGTGCGGTCAATCTTCAGTGATTGCTAGAAGTCTGCTGGACTGTTCCTCTTCTCTCCCGACAGGGAAATTTCCAAGTTGATTTGGCCCTGCGACTGCAAACGAGTGGTGAGTTCGATCCCCTGAAGATCTGTCACGGAGAACGAAGACCTGCCGAGGAAAACCTAAATCTTTAATCTTCTCCCCTCATCTAACTCCTTTTCGGTCTATATTCATTCGGTCTGCTGGCCCGTCTGTCGATTCACCCCTTTTTGTTGGGGGGAACCGACTCACTTCTGGTCTTTACTATAACTAGTATGTCCTACACTGTCCCCACCCGAGACACTCACCTCCCCGCACCTAAACCGAAAATTTGTCATTTTTCGTGTAATAACTGCCAATGGTAATTGTTCACACTTCCTCCCCCTGTTCCTACTCCTCACGGGCCCACCAAACCTCCCCCGCTAACACCTCCCACCAAATAATACGCTCCTAAAATTGGTCACTTTCCGTATAAAAGAAAGTCCGAATACTCGAGTGCTTATGATCCACGGAAGATTCCACACTTTTCACGCCCGCGTCCCTTTCCTTGACGCGCCAGTCCCCCCGCCGACAATTTGAATCCATCCGCCCCCCGGCTTTCCCATCCCGACATATTCCCTCGTTCCCACGATTTCCCTGCCGGCTCTCCCCATCTCCGCTTCCATTACTCCGATTTCATTCACACCGAACAACGTCGGCCCTCCCCATCTCCGTTCCCGATATTCGAATACTAAGATTATTGGGCCAGACATTATTCGTCCCACCCCGGCTCCCGCGCTAACTTAATCAACACCGCCCGGTTCCACCGGAGGAGGAAAGAACCCACACCTTCATCGAAACCCCCCATTATCCCTATTCCCGTTCCAACCCCGAGCGACCTATACATCCAATCAGTCACCTGAGTAGCACTCCCACATGCATCCCCCAACACAACCCACACGTACTTCACCGATAACCTCTTCCGATTCCCCCCGCTACCAGATACCTCTCCCCCCGCTCCCCCTCTTCCCACCGGATACAACCGACATTTCGTTAAAACTCACATTTTTTTCTAAAATCGCGAAATCGAAATCCTTATTTTTTGTCGAAAAGGAGCCTTTTTTTTAATAAATATGACATATATGATCCTATGGTACTATGCTGCACATGTGCAAATTTTGTGTCAATTTTGTTTGATTTTCTTCAGTTTGCTCTTTTTTTGTAACTTGGCCATTATTTTACCTTCAAATTAGTTACTTTTTCGCAACTTTGCTCGTGTCCATCATTTTTTTTTCGTGTATTTGTTATTATTATTTGATGGTTTTTTTTTGTTTTTTTTTCCGTGCACATATCCACTTCACGTGTATGGAGCACTTCATGCTTTGTTTTTTTTTACCTTTTTGTAGTTTTTCTTATTTTGTGTTCGACAGTAGCTCATTTTATTCATTATCTTTCTGTTTTTTCTTCCTAGCTTGTGTATTTTATGCATTCATTTTTCTATTGTAATGTGCAGTGTAACATAAATACTTTACTATTTTGCACTTGTCTGTTCATGTTCAATGTGTTACTTGTGTGTTTTACTTCTGCCTATGACTGAATTGTCATTGATTCGTCCTCTAACGAGTAACTTCGTTTTGTACCAAATAAATTTATTCAGTTGATTGGTGTGTTTTCGAGTATTGTACAATCCATTTTTGGAATTAGCAAACCTTTTTTTTTTGTAGTCGTGGCACTGTGTATGCTGCACACACGCATAACATACACACACACACACACATACACACACTTCAAGGTACAGAGACACACTCACACACACACATACACGCACACACAAACACACACACACACACACACACACACACACACACACACACACACACACACACACGCACACACACACTTTTATTTGCAAACACATGCATCTATGTATAAGATTAATGTGTCCGTTACCACATTAAGGACAATCGTACACGTCTCTGCTCCAACCAATTCATGGGGTGCAAAACTTTTCGCTCCAAACTTTGCTAAAGATGAATGTGTTCGTTGCCAGAGTAAAGACAATCGTACACGTCTGCTCCAACCAGTTCATAGGGTAAAAAACTTTTCTCTCCTAACTTTGTTAAACACATGCATCTATGACATAGCTCACGGGGTACAAAACTTTTCTCTCCATGCTAT